TCTCTCTCTCTCTCTCTCTCTCTCTCTCTCTCTCTCTCTCTCTCTCTCTCTCTCTCTCTCTCTCTCTCTCTCTCTCTCTCTCTCTCTCTTGCACCCTCCCTCCAAACCACCAAGAATATAAACCGTCCAACCTCTACTCTTCCACCTTTTCAAAAAACAGAGATGGGTCTATTTCCATCCCCCCCTCTCTCTCTCCTCGAACATGAATATCAACCTATCTTATTTATAATCCCATGATTACACAAATCCACATTCTTTACTCCTTTTCTCCCGTCAACAGTCAATCCACCGCACAGCTCAGTGTTCACCCGGAAGCCGCAACACAACACCTAGCTATATCTCAAGCTTCACATTTATCAAGTCCGCCTTCAAATGTTCGCGCTACACTGTCCATCGTCATTCGACCTGTATTACTCCCCCCCACCTCCTCCGCCTCCTCCTCAACTTCTTCCTCCTCCTCCTCCTCCTCCTCCTCCTCCTGTATGTTATAACTCAGTAGCGCTTCCTCTAACAAAGCTCTTGCGAACCGGATGTGGAGGGCGTGGCTGGCCTTGTACGCCACAACATGTGCAAGTGGGAATCCAGGATTCCCGCCATGTGCACATAACGACAAATCTCCAATCAAATCAAGCATCTTATGTCTGCAAGGCTCGTTTTCGAATCTTAGAGGCGGATTCACCCACCCACTGTTCATGCTGCACACAAGCGCATTCTCTAAGGACCCGCCCTTGATCAACCCCTTGGCGCGCAGCTCTTCTAGCTGCTCCAGTATTCCGAACGTCCGAGCGGGTGCCACGTGGCTATCATACCCCCCGTAAGCATAGCCACCATTGGGACCACCACCCTGCTTTGCTGCTGCTCTCACGTCCGGCCGCCAAGTGAACCATTGTCTTCCAACAACGGGTAACTGTGGAAAGTCGATTCCATATGTAATTTGGGTCGAGGCGGACGGGATCGCCATCACGAAAGAGTCCCCCTCATATACGATTACAGGGTTTTCAGGCTTGATCAACCATCTTTTCCTAAAATGGCCGCGGGCGTCCTTGGCAACCGCAACACCCGCCTCACGAATGGCCTCCACCCAGGGTTTCGCTGAGCCGTCCAGAATAGGAATCTCCACGTCATTTCCGCCACTTACTGCTGCTGCTCCTGCTGATCGGTCCCAACCGATCTCGATCCGTACATTATCCACACCCATACCCTCTAAGGCAGATAACAAATGTTCCACTGTGTGCACACAGAGGGCATGATGCTCGGCCTTCCTCCCTCCTCCTCGTCCCATTCCAGCGTCCCTCCATGTGCCTCCTCCGAGATTGGTGCTCAGCAACGTGCCTGTCACACAGTCAACGGTAGCAGCTAACCTCTCCTCGTCCTCCTCCTCCTCCTGCTTGCCATCCATCCGCTCTGTTCTTCCTGACTGCAGAGGCCTCCGTTGGTCTTCTCTCGATGCCTGCCATTCCTTCCACAACTCCGTGAAATCTTTGTCTGGCGGCGGCGGAGATGACACACGTGGCCGCATCTCCGGCATTCTCACAAAGTACCGACCTTCGCCCGCCATAGCCGGCACCAATCTAACTATGTTGTGGTAGCCATGGTGTAGCCCTACTCCCGCCCTCGTCACGGGCCGCTGGATAGTCTGCTGAGCCTCGTTTGTCGCCATTCGCCCTGGCACTGCCGCCATAGCTGACTCACGATGCACAGAGAGGGGAGAGGACGAGCAGGAGGAGGAGGAGGTGGTGGTGGTTTCCGACCTTGCCGACCTGTGCATCGACCTTCTCCTCCTCCACCCATCCTCACAGGCATGGATGGACGTTCTGCACCTGCACCCATCATCACAGGAGCAATAGGTTCGTGACGCGCCAGCAGCTTCTCGCCATCGACCCACCCCCCCACCTTTCCTACACTCGAAGAAGGTCCCGTCATGATGACAGGAAGCTCTCGAGGCATCCTCATCATGATACCCCTTCCACTGCTGCTGACCCTTCAATGACCCCAAGGACGTGGAAGATGACGGGGGGGCAAGGAATGATGACGGCAAGGATGGCGCCGAAGACTGCCTACTCCTAGAGAACAAAGACGACGCCCGGTGATGCTGCTGCTGCTGCTGCTGCTCCTGCTGCAGCAGATGCTGCTGCTGTTTGAGAGAGCCGATGATGGAAGGTAATAGCAGCTTCGACCACTGTCTGATCTGGCTTGTGCCGTTCAAACGCAGCATTAGATCTCCTCCCTCCCCATGCGGACAATGCCTCCACCTCCTTGGCAAGATCTCGCTCTTCTTCTCAAAGATAGATTGATCAGGGGAGCTGAACAATCCTCCTCCTCCTCCTCTCACTCCTCCTGCTGATTTCCTGTCCCTGAAGGATCTCTCTCCACCTGATGAGAGGGATTTACGTCTGCTATTGCCGCTGCCGCTGCCACTGCTGCTGCTGCTGCTGAAGGCAGCGGAGGATGGTGTCGCCAACCGAGCACACCAAGCGCTGGCAGGGCTAAACCCCATGGCTGGAAGAAATTCCGCACCCTCCCTCCTCCCTCCCTCCCTCTTCAGCTGATTTTCATCTCACTGGCTGGTTCACTGCCACCGGGAGCGCGCCGGGCACAGCGCCCCTCTCCACCACGAACCCTAGATGCTGCAGCACGGAGCTCCGCGGAGTTCCCCACTGTCACATGGCATAGCGCGCCCTTGTTGGCATCAGGTCAAACACCGCGCCATCCATGTAATCCCCACGCCCTCCATCCCGCCACCCTCTCCAGCTCCCCTTAATGGAGTTTCAATTCAAAAGTAATTGCCACGAAGAGGGTAGGTGAACGCACACACCACTCGGCAAAAACTTCAAACTTGCTGTGCCCCACTTAGGCCGCCTTTCTTTTTTTTGGGACCGAATCTAGCTCTAATTGTGGTCAGATAGTAGTAATTTTATGTGCGCATGTGCTCAGACAGGCACACATACAGTGTGTGTGTGTGTGTGTGGGTGGGTGGGTGTGTGTGGGTGTGTGTGGGTGTGGGTGGGTGGGTGTGGGTGTTGTGTGTGCGTGTGTGTGTATGTGTGTGTGAGAGAGAGAGAGAGAGGGAGAGAGAGAGAGAGAGACGGTGTAGGTGGGAAAGAGACAGAGCGAGGGAGGGAGAGGGGTCGAAGAAAACGACAAAAAAAACTCAATGTACTGGCGAGTTGTCGCACACGTCGTCACCCGTCATCGCACACTGGTATTGACCACATCAGTCGTGATCAGACATACCGCCATGAGCGCCGCCGAGTTGTCCCGCACTCCATCGCTCCAGAGTTTATCATTGCACATCCAACAGCAGCCGCACACCGTTATCCCACGTTTCATCACCATGGCTACGGGTACCTGAGGCTTACTCCCATACCTACTCAGACGACGCCACACACCCCATCACTACCTGTCATGTCAATGAAAAAAGAAAAACATCACGCCATCGACAGACGCCACACACCCCATCACTACCTGTCATGTCAATGAACAAAAAACATCATGCCATCGACAGACTATTGCTACGGCATTCCCCTGACGAAGAGGATGAATGGATTGACAAGAAATCGATGAATGGATTGACAAGAAATCGCGCACACAGTCCTTCGGGACATCCCTTTAAAATTGGAACGATAACAAAAAACATCATGCCATCAACAGACTATTGCTACAGCATTCCCCTGACGAAGACGATGAATGGATTGACAAGAAATCGCACACACAGTCCTTCGGGACATCCCTTAAAATTGGAACGATACTGAGAAGATTGATTAGCCTGGCCCCTTCAAAATGGTCATTAATTAAGAACAAAAGAAAACTCGCACAGAAACTGTTCTCACAGGACTTCGGTTGTTTTCGAGTTACTCGGGTGGGTGGAGCTGGGGGCGCTCAGGTCCATCTGCCTTGGTCATGAGTTACATTAACGTCCCAGGCTAGCCTAGGTATCCAAAGGCCAAGCCTTCGCTTACAAGAGTTGCATGTCTGCAAGTCGGAGGCTTAGTGCTCTGTGGCTACAAGACTGCTCGAGCTAATCTTCTTCTTCTGCTTCTTCTTCTGCTTCATCTTCTGCTTCTGCTTCTTCTTCTTCTTCATAATCATGTGCTTGTTTCTTCCGAGTTCAGTGCATGCGGAGTCGATTGTAATACTATAGGAGCATGTACGAGCAAGACAGTGTTGGCCTCTGTTTATCACTATCCTTCTTCTTCTTCTTCTTCTTCTTCTTCTTCTTCTTCTTCTTCTTAGGCTAGGCTTAGTGCTCTGCTGCTAGAAGACTGCTCGAGTGACTCTTCATCTTCTTCTTCTTCTTCTTCTTCTTCTTCTTAGCTATGCCCGTGCTGTTTACTCACTTTTTTGATGATGCATAGACACCATACTTGCGGCGTATCACGTGCGCGCGAATTGCGCACATGTGGCGCATAGCACAGCGCACGTATGCCCCTGCAAGTGATGCGGCGCACACGCCCCAATAATTAGGGTTGATTAAAAAATTCGGAAAGGGCAGGCTGTGGTAACCAAATGTGCCCCTCCCTTCTGAAAATTATAGGGGAACAGAAGAAAAAAAGAAAATTGGGGCCACAACGTACTCCTCATTGGATCCAATCTCTTTTCCAAAGGGCCCCTAGCAAAGAATAAGCAGGGGTCTCTTTCTTTAGCAGAGACGTTCATCAAATTTCGAGTTTGACACGAGCAGCCCAGCAATGTATACTCTGGATTCGAATTCCGGTCTGTCGTCCAGTAGTTATGGGTTACTACTACTTACTACAGTAGCACTCTCTTCTTTATGTTTTCCTCTTTCTTCTTTTTGTTTTCCTTTTCTTACGTTCAGTGGCCATAAGGGCCTCGCTCCACTAGTCACCAATTGCAGAAAAGACAAAACATAGGGCGGTGTATGGTTCCATGTTCTGGCAGAAGATTCATTCTAGTTTTGCATATTTGGTAAGTAGTGGAGGGAGGCCCTGAAAATCCCGTAATGATTTAGTACGTTAGTAACCAATAACTGCTGAAACATGGACCTGAATTTGAACCCACATGATATATAGTTGGCCTGCTACTTCCCTACCATAAGTCCAACGCCTCCCTCGTTCTTGGCGAGGGGACCCCTGCTAATTATCGGCAGGGGCCTTTTGAATTACCCACAGGTGTTTTCTGATTGATGTGAAAGGGCTCTTTGATCTCTCTCTCTCTCTCTCTCTCTCTCTCTCTCTCTCTCTCTCTCTCTCTCTCTCTCTCTCTCTCTCTCTCTCTCTCTGGTGTGCGCGCAACCGCACGTGCATACACACATCACGGCCGCTTTTTTTTCTTTTTTTTTTTCGTGCATCAGCGATGAGCGCATCACGCCGCGCACCGTACATATGCGCCGCAAGTATGATAGACACGTAGCGTTTGGCCTCGTTATTTTCGAATTCAATTTCAAATTCTCCTTCTTCTTCTTCTTCTTCTTCTTCTTCTTCTTCTGCTGCTGCTGCTGCTGCTGCTGCTGCTGCTGCTGCTGCTGCTTCGGCTTCTTCGGCTTCTTCGGCTTCTTATGCTTCTTCCGCTTCTGCTTCTGCTTCTGCTTCTTCTGCTTCTGTTTATATTTCTGCTTCTGCTTCTTCCGCTTCTGCTTCTGCTTCTTCTACTTCTTCTTCTTCTTCTTCTGCTGCTGCTGCTGCTGCTGCTGCTTCTGGTGCTGCTGCTGCCGCTGCTGCTTCTGCTTCTGCTTCTTCTGCTGCTTCTGCTGCTTCTTATACCTCTTGTGCCTCTACTGCTGTCGCTGCTGCTGCTTCTGCTTCCTCTCTTCTCTCCTCCTTCAGTCCCCGGTAGGCTGGCATCCATAGCCGCCATCTCTCTCTTCCTCTTACGTTCTTCTCTTGTGGTGTGCCGGACAGCATCACTGGAGGTCAGGCTGGGTGCTATCCCAAGGGAATGGGTCATGTTTAGAGAGAGGCGTCTCCAGTGTTGGCAGTGGGCCTCTGAGGGTGGAGAGGAGGAGGTGGCCTGCAATTGAGAGCATCAGGGGTTTTCTGATTGATGTGAACGGGCTCTTTGATCTCTCTCTCTCTCTCTCTCTCTCTCTCTCTCTCTCTCTCTCTCTCTCTCTCTCTCTCTCTCTCTCTCTCATGCGCGCGCGTGCACGTGTGTACACGCACACGGCCACTTCCTTTTTTTTTCCGTGCATCGGCGATGAACGCATCGTGGCGCACACCGCACATATTGCGCCGCAAGTATGATAGACACGTAGCATTTGGCCTTGCTACTTTCGAATTCAATTTCAAATTCTCCTTCTTCTTCTTCTTCTTCTGCTGCTGCTGCTGCTGCTGCTGCTTCTGCTTCTTATGCTTCTTATGCTGCTTCTGCTTCTGTTTCTACTTGCTTCTGCTTCTTCTTCTGCTACTGCTGCTTCTGGTGTCGCTGTTGCCGTTGTTGCCGCTGTTGCTTCTACTTCTGCTTCTTCTGCTTCTTCTGCTTCTTCTTCTGCTGCTGCTGCTGCTGCTTCTGCTTCTGCTACTTCTGCTTCTGCTCCTTCTTCTTATACCTCTTGTGCCTCTACTGTTGTCGCTGCTGCTGCTTCTGCCTCATCATTGAGCATGAAAAGCGGTTCCTTCCACTTGATCCATTCACATTGGGACTGCAACCAGCCCAACCCGAGGACGGCGTCAAAGGGACACTTTGTCAAAGGTAGTGCGCACAACTTCCACTACATGTGTCGATGAGACAACCTCTTTGTTGCCTACTTGAGTCCGGCAAGGGCTCTACAAAGCGACTTGTTCCATCCCCAAGCCCACTTCACGTATCCTGTGAGGTGACGTAAAGTTAGTTGTGGCACCACAATCAATCAAGACATGGAGATAGCGGTGGTTAATGAGAGGTTTTAAGAAGATTAACTTTGTTGTCCCTTGAGCACGTTGATGTTTCATCTTAGTCCAATGCTCTAGGTGATAGTGAAAGTCGACCTTCTCAGACCTCCCAAGGCTCAACATATAAAGCATGACAAACTTCAGCCTTGGAATCAATAGACGATGGGGCTTCAAGAGAGGACTCCTGATTTTCGTCGGGTTCAGTTTCCCTTCCCGCAGAGGGTGTTCATGTCAACTCTACACCCGACTCTGGTTTCTTTGCAGTTTATAGCAATCTTGAACTTTGTGATTCGGTTTCAATGCAGGCACACCCCTTTCTTGAGCCTAACCCTCCATTCATTTTCAGTGATCGGGAGGTCAACCCAAACTTTGGTGGTTGCATCCTCCGGTTTCGCTGGGATTGTGATTCCCTTGGGAGGTTGGACGTAGTTTTTCCCTAAGTTCCGGTTTAGTCCCTTCACATTGGCAAACTTTCTAAAGGCATTTAATTTTTCTTCTTCGTTACTGATGTCAGAGTCATGGGCTGAAGAGGAACATGTATCAGCATCGTGTTTTTGGTCATCACCAAGAGTGGGGTGATCTGCATAGGCCTCCTCATCGGCCTCCAACAGGTCATGCACAGCAAAACAGTTGTTGCCTCGAAATCGCCTGCCAGCTATCAACTTTTTGTTGCCTGTTGTGGAAACGAGGTCTTGTGCCTCAAGGCTGACCACATCCTGCATGAGGGAGAGACAGTCCGTGTATCCAATGCGCTCTTTGCCTAGGCGATGCGTGTAAGTAGTAGGAATCGTACCTTTCACAACATCCAAGCATGATTGTGCAGTCATTTCCAATCCGGGTGTAGCAAAACGTTTGCTAACAAACAACTGCAGGTTGTACATGGAGCCCGCCCACTTGTTGCGCTTGAGATCATAAAGTCTCTTCCTAATTCTTGCAGCGGTATGTGGATCCTTATATTGTTTAATCAAGATGTTTTCAAGTGTGGCCGCATTGAGCCACTGCGTCAGATCGATCTTAGTGTACCCGGCCTGCATAGCTTGGACTTCTAAAAATCCTTGTACGACGGGTTCGATATTTGTTTCCATGATCAAGGACTGGCTCAAAGATTGAGTTCCCAGCACATCGAAGTAGGCTAACATGGAGCTGATCCAGGACTCTACGTCTTCCTTGTCGACGTACTTGGACAGTATATGTACCGCCTTTTTGTCCACATAGACTCGAGGCTGCAGCAGTTGCAAAAATCCCTGCGCTGTCTTTGTTGCAGTTGCAGCGGGGTCTACACCTACTACAGGTCCCGATTGAATCACACTCAAGAGGAGTAGAGGTATGGAGGGAGCAAGGGCAGACTGGCTAGCAGCATTTGAAGCAGAAGGTCGAGGAAGAGAATTAGGGATTTGGGCCTGATGCAGATTTCTCATCTGATCACTGTGCACCTTGTCCATATCCGCAATTTGCGTCCGCAGTTCACTTGCCTGGTCAAAAAGCTTAGCGATCTGACCAACAATTTCACTGAGTAGATGACAATCTATGAGAGCACGCACATATGCGACCAGATCTTTCTTGACCTTAGTGTTGGGCAAGGAGGGGACTGTTTTGAAGACAACATCATGGTCCTCAACAACGGTTTTCCGAGTTTCCTCCTCTACCTTCTCTTCCCCTCCCAATGCCTTGTCGTAGAGGACTTGGAACAATGGTTTGTCCTCTCCGTTGGCTGCATCCAATTGGGCCTTTAAGGCCACAAAAGCCTTTATTGCTGCCATTTCAGCAAGTCCCTCAAAGCAGGTGCTCTCTGTCTCCCTTCTCTCTCTCTCTTTCTTTTGTCCACGAGTCTCTATGGGCATCGAAATATGAACTCAGAAAAAGAAAAAAATTGAAAAGCTCAAAGAAAGAGAAGGTAGAACTCCTAGCCGGAGCGGCATCACATTTGTACTAGAGAGCAGCCAATAAAAAAAAAAAACATAAAAATAAATTCAAATTAGAGGTCTGATCCAGCGACTCAACCTGATCAGTGCGCATACAAGATCCTCTCGGGTCCAGTCTGACCAGTTCCGTGAACGTGCCGCAAATCAGACAGCGAGCGACGATATGCAGCAATGGAGAATTGAGTGGTATACAAGGTGCGAGTCAAGCCACGGACGGTGCAATCAAAAGCATGTGAAACGTCTCAGCCGAGATCCCCTCGGCAGCGGGTGTCCTAACCAAAAGAATAAACTATGGATCCCAATCAGAAAGAGAATGAACCAACATCTAACAGATTTGGGTCCAAGGGGCCCTTCTTGGTTGGGCCCGGTCCAGGTCATTACATGCTATTTTAGGGTGCGTGATGCTTTTCTGTTTTTTCCTTTTTCTTCCCCAAAGGTGCGAGATGTTTTTCAAAGAGAGGTCTGCAGAGTCGGGAATGGGACTCCAAAGGCGGAGAGGAGGAGGAGGAGGGGGAGGCGGGGGAGGAGATGGTTCACCGCAGCTGAGAGCACCTGACCACCAAAACTGTACTTCTATGGCTCCCACCATCTCCGGAATAGAACAGACACTCCTTAACGCTGCATCTAGGCTGAAAGGTGCCCTAAATACAACTATAATGACTGTACGTTCTATTTGTGGGAAGACGGGAGCAGCTCATGAAAAAGACAAGGGGAAAAATGTAATCAATGAGCCAATCAAGTCGTTTGGATTGTTAGTACCCACCACGTGACTGAATACTTCACACATGAGATGAAATCCTGATATGCAAAAAGATAATGCTACTGACCACACCGCCGTTCCGGGTAACCCACCTCCACTCCCAGAAGAAGTAGAGAGACCCTAATTACAAACCCTAATTCTCTCTACCACATTCCCTCTCTAACCCTCTATGTCTCATCACCATCTTCACCCGAACACAATGCACCCTAATCATTCATGATTGTATAGGATCTGAAAAAGAGCTTATATACATTTGTGATCAGGGTGGGTGGTATTCGGCTGAAGACGGTAGCATTCTCTCTAACCTCCTTCATAAATAACTCTCGTTCCCTCCAGACTTCTTAATCCATCTCCCTCCCCTTACTGCACCAACCTCCAGAGCCATTCCCTGTCTTGCTCTTCGTAACTCTCTCACTCCCTTCTTCCTCCTCTTTTTTCTTTCCCCTCCCTGTTTAGACTGATCGTCCTCTGCCATTTTCTCTCTCGCACCTCTTCCTCTCCAGCATGATTGATTTTCCACATTTTTTAGAAAGAGAGAAAAAGAGAGAGAGAGCATGCGTTTATCCAACCCCTTTCTTCTCTCTCTCTCTCTCTCTCTCTCTCTCTCTCTCTCTCTCTCTCTCTCTCTCTCTCTCTCTCTCTCTCTCTCTCTCTCTCTCT